GTATATTATGCCGTACATAACTTCCATGGCATGATTATCATGTTTGGGCGTTTCATTCACGTTCGTCATTTATTAACGTCACCTGATGACCAACTTTGGTATAGCTAGCGTAACGGCCGTGAGCGTGCTATGAGCGTAGCATGAAGCCATGTTTTACATGAAATCCATATTATGATGATCATATTTGGACGTGTCATTTACCTTCGTCGTCTATTCACTTCCCGTGACACCAAATTTGGTACGTGTGGCGCGACGGCGGCGAGTGTGTCATGAAGGGCCCAATATACTTCGACGCAACGTTGACGCACGCGCAGGTTGGGCGCAGCGACGCCACGCTAGCAAAATGCGAGCACTCTCTAGTGTGACGCCAGGCGCGACCGGCGCGACCAGCGTCTGTCAGCGCGGCCCGTTGGCAACCAGCGTGAAATGCGACATGCTACATTTCACGCCGACGACGTTACTTAGACAGCACCGCGTCTGCCTCTCTTCGTGACGGAGGGACGTCGTGTGCGCTCAAACGCGCATGCGTCAATAGAGAGGTTTAGTACTGCGGAAAAGTGCTACGTACGCATCACGCAAGCGCCTTGCGTTACGTGGAGTCGTTTGCCACTAATCGCCTTTTAGTACGCCGTAGTACCCGCGTACGTAACGAGCGTGAAGCGTGTTGCGCCATCTGGTATATCAGAATAGAAGCACGTGTTGTTGACAGCCAACGTGAGCCAATGCAAGTGTTATAGCCAGATTATGGCCATATTTTAAGCCACAGAGACGGTCGGTGCTTGCCTTCGATGCCACCATTTTGCAAAACGAAGTCTCGCGCTGTCGCGAACTTGTTCGAGAGCGTCGCGATCACCTCATACGTACGCACGCACGCATCTCATGCGTGCGTACGTAGCGGCTGCGTACGTAATGCGATACGTGTGCGTTGCGGTCTGCGCATGCGCACTACGCAGAATGTGGCGTCCTTACGTACGCAACGCCGCCACGTACGCAGCGTACGCAGTACTAAAACTCTCTAATGCAACGCAGCGTGGCGCGTACCTGCAAGCATACGGCATACAGATCCACAATGAAGGTCAGTGGGCAGATCCACCTATCTCTACTAGGGGGATATCGGCACCTGGCCTGGCATCGCCGGCGTGACGCGATAAAACGAACGCCAGCGCGTACGCGCGCCGGCTCACGTCGAAGTGCATAGGCGCCTTGAGTGTGGCGTGTGTTAATGTTCGTACATGACACCCTTCTCATGATTATCATGTTTCCACCAGTCACATGCCTTCGTCATTCATTCACGTGACGTAATTCCAAATTTTGGCATATGTGAAGGTAGCGAAACAGCCGCGAGTGCATCATGAGTGTGAGACGTAGTCATGTTGTTACATGACATGCATCTCATGATTATCATGTTTGCACCAGTCACATACCTTCGTCACCCATTTACGTACCGTAACACGAAATTCGGTATATGTGACGCTAGCGAAACGGCCGTGAGCGCATAATGAGTGTGGCATGTACTCATGTTGTTACATGACACGCATGTCATGATTTCCATGTTTGCGTCTGTCTATTGTGATGGCCATGCGACTATGCGATACCATGCCAGTTTTGCAACATGCATGCATGTGAACGAAACCACCGCATGAGCTGCAGAACCTTGAAATGTAAATCATGACATTAATGACATACATGTCATGATTTTCATGTTATGACTAGTAAATATGTTCTCCATGCAGTCATGTTGTGCCACGCCAAGTGTCGTATTGATACAGTTATCGAAAGGGCCAGGAGAGCTAAAAGTCTTAGATAGATAGATAGATAGATAGATAGATAGATAGATAGATAGATAGATAGATAGATAGATAGATAGATACGCTCAACATCACCGAAGTTCGCTAAGAAATGCTTCGCATTAAAAAATCATGGTGGAGTGGGAACCTTACAGTAGGCATTCCCGAATAGTGTGAAACGGGCAAGGTGTCGAGCACAAGTTCGTTTTCTTGCGTCATCGTGAGCATCATGGGCATGACCTGAAAGCAAAGACAGGCCAGCAATAGACGAGCTGATGGACACGGGGCTTGGGTACGCTATCACGTACCACTTTTGAAACAGGAGCTCAAGTGTACTCTAAGTATAGTTTGTGTGTGTGTGCGTGTGTTGTTTTAACGCAATAGGCACCGTTCAGTCTAGTTTTCCAGTATGACTACAGTGCCAGAATACATAGCCTAGCGAATAAAAAAAAAGAACTTTGAGACGGCGTTGACGAAGATGGAACGTTACGCGCGCGCCCCGCGCCCTGCATTGGATTGGATTGGATTGTGGCCGGGATACACGGGGGATGGGCGCACGCGTCTATTTCCTGCGTGCACCAAATGGCGAATGTCGTAGACTTTGAGACGGGGCAGTGTGAGTGACGCAGCTACCTCTGGTCAGTACGCGGTGGCTAAGGCGTTAAAGAGCTCGTTTAGCAGGAATTCTGGCGTTGGTGTCAGCGTAGGCGTCGTTGGCTGATAGCGAAAAAGAACCTTGTTTGGAACCGAGATGTTGAGAAAAATGCAAATAAAGTAATAAAATGTTTCGGGTTTGATAGAGGATTTAACTCAGGCCGTTTGCGTGGTAAGCTGTTGTTCTAACACACAGCTACGCGACTCCTTTAAAACAGTGTGAAATTGACTCCATCTTCTCAGAAATGCAGCAAAAAGAACAACCATATCCGTTACAAACACACGTATCCTGTATACGGGTGTCATAAAACAAGTTGTAATATTGCATTAATATTGTGTGGTACAAGCATACATTACTATCGAGAATCAAAACATGGGATTAACATAACGACTTCGTGGTTTACAGCCGGCAACCCTTCAGAAAAGGTGCAGGCATTAGGGCGCCCTATTCCCTGGCGACCACGTAGTGGTCCCTGGCGTCCCTGTGTCCCTAGCGTCCATTGCAAGTTCGAAATCACCTCTCGCGTATAATTGCTCGAGCTTCAAACCATGCTATCTGTTACACTGAATGCAGCCATTTGCGAAAGTTTCTCTGACAAAAGCCACTTTAATCTTTATCGAGTCCATTGCATTAAGCCACAATTTAAACTTCTCGAGTAGCCTCATGCAATAAAGAATCACAACATATCCACGCAGTGCATGATGATGTGTGGCGAAGCGTTCGTCAGTCTGTCCGTTTGTTCTTGCTTCCGTCCGTCCATTCGACCATCCAACTGTGCGTCCGTCAGTGCGTCCATTCATGCGTTCACCCGTGTGACCATCCGTCTGTCCGCGCGACTCTCCCTGCGTCCTTCCAAGCATCCATCCACGCATCTGTCCGTGCGTGCACCCGTGCGTCCGTCCGTTCATCTACTAAACACTCCAAGCACCGCTATCTCGCATATTTTCATCATATATTGGTCATATAGAAGTAACGCAATCCAGTAGACATTACAAGGACTGAACCAGAGTTGGCTACCTCCTCATCCTCCTACTACTACTGCATACATCGTTGACACACAACTTATGGCTTAAGGAGCTTCACCCCTAAAAAGTGTGCATCAACTGCTTGAAGTACGCACTATGGAGAGGATTTTGCTATCGCGTTCAGATTTCAAAGGTCACGCTTAAGGATGCGCTATTGTTTTCATCTTCCTACTTGAGTGGACGATTTGTATGACTTCAATGATTAAATAAAATTTCTGTTGGTTATCTTCTGTCAAAAATTATTTTCTCTGCTCTGATTTTAACGAATTTCAATATCTGTGAAAAGGAGGAGCAGGCCATATACAAAAACCCTAACATCTGCTTACGCAACGTATAAAAAAACGCCTTGTTTATTCCTTGGTCTATCTGTTGCATTTCGCGAGTAGTATTTTATTACAAAAAAGCAAGACTAGCACATTAAGTGACCTATCTTCATAGTAAGCCAATCAAAATATAAAGAAAGATGAAAACGAAAAATAGCAGTCAACAGATCTGTATTGTTCGTTAGCTATTGTGTGATAGCAAGTACGCTTGCTGTAAGGAGGACAGCTTTCCCTGATTGCAAAACAAAATTAGGGGATTCTAAAACTTCACCTTTAAGAGTTGAACGCACCAGCGATATCATGTTCTTAGTGCGTACTTAAAAAAATTGCTATGTACCCATTACATGGCCTTAAGGGAATAGCCGCCGTACGTGTGTGCCTTTTGTAATGGGTTGTCAGCTTTAAACCACGAAAGCATTAGAATAACGACATGTTTTGAAGCCAACGGACTTGGTGTTTGTGCGCTCTTTCCTTTCCTCAGTGCTGGATAGCACACCGGTCATTGTAGAGTGGTTAACATCCCCGCATTTCCTTTACCTCCTGTTTGTGTTCTTCTTTCAATGGCAATGGGCGCTTGTCCATGTATTACTACTGCAAAATTTGGTGTTGTATTGTGAAGCATGTATGCAAGACGTGTGTACTTGTAAAGCAAGAAAGTTACTTTCACTGCATCTCTAAGCAGAGGAAGTTATTTTAACTGTATTCACAAGTATATACGTGGTTGCGTCGTCAAATATTTGTTTGCCACGCAAACGACCTGGGTGCGATCACCAGTCGGAACAGAACGACCCGGCTTAGATCCCCAATCTGACCCAGGATTTTATTCACATTGTTCTCGATTTTTCACTCACGCATAAGATGGTAATTTCTCGCTGAAAACTGACGACGCCCACGACTAATTTATACGAAACAAGCTGTTTAACGCTTTCGCGTCGAAACAATCGTTGAAAGTCTTCGTACCACTTCAAACACACCGCACAACCACAGGCTTCCTGGTGGATCTTAGTTGCATTGTACGTGGACTACATTCTGTGATCGAAAACGCTTAAAAAAAAAAACAAGATTGCCCGTAAAAACCACACTGCAATCGTCTTTTCAATCGTGTGGCGGGTCGCGCAACGCAGGTCCCAGTCTGAGGCGCAGGTCTGGAGCCGTGATTACGTCCAGAGATGCACGAGAGGCATGACCCGGGGCCTATGCCGACCGACTTTCTGGACGACATTAAGAAGGAGATCATGGAACGCTGCTTCAAGTCGAGCTCGTACCGTGACGGTGAGTGAACACCACCTTGAGAGGTGCGCTTTGCAAGTATACGGTGAACAAATAAATTGTACTGCGGCAGCAATGGATAGTGGGGGTGTGCCTTACGAAGAAGAAAACCTTTTCTACGGTGCTATCCTATGTGTTACTGCTCGCTGCTCTGTCCTACCATCTGACGATTTCGTTACCTAGAACGTGTCTTCAGAAGGTTACTTTGTTTACTTAATTAAATAAATAAATATTACTTGTTAGTTAATATTTTAAATGATGTCAACGAGCTAGCCCACTCCAAGGCACGATGCTTCACTTACCGCGCTGGGTCTTGTGCTTCTCAGACAGAGGAATCAGCCTCAACCTTCATTTTGGGGACATTTTGAATACCTTCAACGAGATCACAAAGCACTATAAATTAGGAGGTAGGTCCTTTCCATTGCCACACGAAAAGTTGTATAGGCCACAGGCAATCTTTCTTGGCATGCTTCAGACGGTAACATACCCAGCCTCGTAACCTATAGCCATTACTCCGACATTTCAGAACGTTGTCCAGACTGCCACAATCGCAGTGATTTTAGACACACCTACTACACACAACGAGATTACCAAGTATTACTACATGGAGAGGCGGGCATTCCCAATGCCACATTCAAAACTCAATATAGCAGAGGCCGTCTCGTTGCGCTTACTTCAAACCCATTCGTACCCGTCGTTAGCATACCTAAATGCAATTTATCCTCACAAATTCCCCCGATGCCACCTGCGCCGCTTACGGGCAGACCGCTACGTTAGCACACATGCTCTGGGAGTGCTGGTCGCTTGGACCGACTTATAGCAAACCCGAGTGGGATGCGCTTCTGCACAGCCCAGAACTTCATGACCAAATCCTGGCCGTCCAGTGTGCCCGCGACAGGGCCATCAGGCTAGACCTGCCGGCCCCCGCGTGGGAGTAGCCGGGTGACGCGTGGCAAACTCAGCGTCTGCACTAGACAATAATAAAGTTGTTCTCACTCACTTTAACCACATGCTCTGGAGGTGCCCCTCTTTACAAAAAAATTGAGAATTTTCTGAAAATTTCTTTTATGTATAGCTCACGACTGTTGTTTTCATACAAAAACTCAAGGCTGTCAAGAAGGCACACGATGCGGCGGTGAGGCTAGGCCTCCCCTTCCCAAGATGGAGCAACCCGCGACCCCTATAAAACGGGGGTGGAATCCTTCAGGACCCCAATAAAAGTTTTTCATCCATACATCATCCATTCGTAATCAATATAGCTTCCGGAGCCTCTTAAGCAATCGTCTGGGACAACTTTAAGGCGAAAGTAATCTTGTTTTGCTTCTGAGTCGATTCAGTGATCACCTACACCATCTTGTGAAAGTTTTGTGCGCCTAACCTCGTTTCCTGCTGCCTCCAAGATGGGATGAATTGGAGGCCTTCTGGCCTCACACTGTTTTTCGTGGCCTCCGTGATAGGTATACGTTTCACCAAGCGACCACTTAATGTGTCGACGTCATCAAGTGATGTCACGTTATGACATACTGACGTCACAAATTTTCGTAACATGACACGTCGTGATGATGTCATCACACGATGGCGGTATTTCGCATTACTCGTGTGAAGGCTGCTGACGTGAACCGCCGACTTTCGTATTTGGGGAAGTATCGAAGGCTTTCGCCTTATTAAACGACTCACTGTATTCGTTGTGCGCTTGCTTGCAACGACTCAAAGGCGAGCACGATCTTTTCTTTTTTAGCGCGATAGCATCACGCAGCTCTTTCCTTAGAAGTTTAGCTATCAGCGTAGTGTCAGCGGCGGCGTCCATGTCGTTGGTTGCTAGTGAAAAGTGGGTGTTGTCCGTGACCGAAAAATCTAGAAAGGCTTACGTGAATAAGAAGCAGTGAATCACGCGGAGAAGGGTGTTTCGGATACACTAACGCGTAACGCAAAGAAGTGTTTCGAAGGCACACAGAGCGCGCAGGCATATCTAATCATCATCAGCAAAAGCATCAACAACGTGAGCAGCTGTGTGGGCTCTCAGGCTGCCTTGCGTATGACTGTGCTCGCTTGTTCTCAAAAGGTAGAATTATGGCGTAATGAAGTCTTCGCAGCTTTACATGCAAAATGCATTACAGGATAGCTTGAAACTGCTAATGTTACGCGCACAGGCATTCGTTTTCATGCGGATGATTCGGAAATGCACGTGAACCAAAGCTGGGCTTATATTGAAGTCAATGCGCAGAGGGATGGATTATGCTATCGCGTTTTACTCATCAAGACTAAGCTCAAGCACCCTCCGAGTTTTAAGTGAGAAGCCTTTTAGGAACTATGACTGTGGCATACCATCGTAGCTTGGCTTAACGCAGGCAAAACCATAAATAGCATGGTCACCTGCAACATATTGAGCACGTTCTCAAGCCAAAAAGGAGTCTTTTAGGTGCTTGCTCCTAATGCTCCAGCCTTGTTCATCCATCCCGCCATCGTAACCACGCTCCCTCTGGAGCAAATGACTGGCTCAGAATGGATGCGTGCATCTCTCTTCTTGCATGAGAGGACACGCAGTGCAAGACAGAGAGAGAGAGAGAGAGAGAGAAGCTTTTCAATTCAATCATAGATAAATGTTGGGTGGGGCTCTCAGTTCAGAGCTCCAACAGCCGCTGCTACGTCTCGCGCCCGCCGCACCAGCGCCCTCTGGCCACTCGGGCTTTCATCACGCAGCATGGCCTCCCAGTCTTGTAGGGTAGGAATAGGAGTGGAGTGGGCAGAGCGCCTGGCAGGCGCACGCTCACATTCCAGCGTTATGGGAAATAACGTTAGTACCGCTCCACAGCCCGGGCATTTGTCAGGGTAAGAAGTGGGATGGAGGATGTGGAGGAAATAGAGGTGTGGAAATTTGTTCGCTGCAGTTGACGCACCGCAGTTGCATCTTCTCGTGTGAGCGTGTGGTGTGGTGGAGGGTACCGAATGCCTTCTCGTCTATACTAATTGAGTGTCTCGATATCCTAGAAGTTCCGTGTTTGTGTCCTCATCTGGGTTGGACAGCTCTTCCTCGGGATCCCGGTTAGTGAGTGCTCGGGTAGCTGCATGAGCGCAGGCATGACCGGGGAGAGAGGCGTTCCCAGGGGTCCAGACACGTCTGAACTTGTGTGGCGTGTGGAATGCGGTGTTCAAAATTCGGTGTGTGTGCTGTGAGACAATGGCCCGTGTGAAGGCACGGCAGGTATCCGTTGAATGCGTAAGCCTTAGAATAACATTTGTGTGAGGAAAGCTTATGGCAGCGTGGAAAATCGCCAGAGCGACGGCACACTCTTAGCCTTCAGATATGTTCTTTGTAGGTACACTGATTGAGGCTACTACGTCATGATCATTGGTCACCACTGCTTCAACTGTAAAACTGCGGCAGTGGTGTCTAGCGGCGTCGCAGTATAAGAGAGTGCTTGGAGGAGACTGATTGATGAGGCACGTGAGGTTTTTTACCCTTGCCCGCCGTCACTGAGCGTTGCGCTCAATGTGCATATTGCGTTGAAGTGGCGCGACTTTAATTCTTGCTCGAAAGTCAGTGGGTAGCTGTTTCCCTGATGTGCTGTATCCACATCGATTCGGAGGGTACTCTAGCCTGACGAGTAGCCACTCTCCCACTTGGGTGCTGCGGAGTCTTCGCAGCTGACTATTAAGTTGTGCTTAGGTTAGTTCCCTCAGGTTGTTGTTTACACACATGGCTAGGAGACGGTTGGTGAATGCCTACGTATGTAGTCCAAGCGCCGCCTTGACGGCTCTACGGAGGAGAATGTCCAGTCTTCTCTCTTGCGCAGGCGTTAGGGTTTCATAAGGGACGTGGTAGGTGTTGCGACTTACTATGCAGGCATTAATTGTACGTAGAATGTCTTGCTCCTGAAGTCCATGCCTTCGGTAGGTGATGCGGTGGATCATATGCGTGATTTGAGAAACTTGCTGTTCTAATATTTTCATGGTGTGCGTTGCCTTGAGATCAGCTTGCATGTGAAGGGCAAGGACAGCGGAGTTTCTGTACGCTGTGCAAGCGACGCAACGCTCTCAGAACGCGAACTCCGACGGGACGGGCGTCCGTTGGCGCGCCCATTGTTGGCGCCATAGAGTTTCGTACAATAATTGTATGAAACTCTATGGTTGGCACCATTCAGAGGCTCGGGGCGCTTGCGACTTCCGGTCGAATCCTCTGATTATCGCGGAATACGGGGAGTGAAGACGCCGCAAAAAGAAATAATAATAATAATAATAATAATAATAATAATAATAATAATAATAATAATAATAATAATAATAATAATAATAATAATAATAATAATAATAATAATAATAATAATAATAATAATAATAATAATAATAATAATAATAATAATGATGTTGTTTTGTTGTTGTTGGAGTTTAATGTCTTAAACCTTGCCTGCCCCTGATAGGGCAAGGAGGTTTGAAAAAAAAAAATGGATAGGACACGTCTTTGTATGATGGTAAAGCGGATGCATGTACGGGGGATTCACGGTTTACCAAATTTAACCTCTAGACGAACCTTCTTCAGCATCACTTGCTTCGTAGATGCGGCTCAACTTGTTTCCTCTGTTTCTTTGAGTGCCTCGATGAGGATATGTGCGAGACACCTTAGGGACCGGGCTGCTTCATACTGTCATGGCTTGACGTAACGTAGGTGAGACCACGTATAATAAAGATAGAGGCAAAACGGAAGCAAACATGAAATATAAAGGGAACAATAAAGGAAGGAAAGAATTGGAAAGGCAACAAGAAGAGAAAGAAAAATAAAGACAGAGATAAGAAGAGGGGACGAAATCAATAGAAATAAAGTGAGAGCAAAACAACAGCAAAATTTCCAAAAGGTAAGAAAAAGAGGGAAGAAAGAAAAAGCAAAAAAAAACCAAATAAAGTTGAACGGTTCCGCAGTACATCCTCGAGGGACATCATAAAATAAAAAGCAGCTCTGAGTGGTTGAAGTGAGCACTAGGCAGAGGATGTTGCTGCCGTGTTTAACT